GCTGGAGTGGACTGCATTATTGTAGGCAACTTCTGCAAAAGGGAGTAAGTCCGCCCACTCGGTCTGCTGGAAACTAAGAAAACATCTTAAATATTGCTTAAGTACGGAGTTCATTTTTTCCCCCCCCCCATTTCCTTGAGGGTGGTGGCTAGATGTCAGTCCCTGAGTGGTTCCTAAGAGGGATAAAAATTCCTTCCAAAATGCAGACGTAAATTGCACCCCCCTGTCAGAGATGATGCGTTGGGGTGCCCCATGCAATCTGTAAATGTGTTGGATGAAAAGTTTTGCTAAGGCTTTTGCAGTGGGAATCTTTTGGCAAGGGATAAAGTGCACCTGTTTGGAAAACAAGTCCGTGACCGTCCAGACCACAGTATTCCCATTGCTTTCTGGCAATTCCACTATAAAATCCATGGCTATTTCTCTCCAGGGGGCTGAGGGACTTGCCACTGTTTGCAATAGTCCTGGCACTTTCCCTTGCAACCTCTTTGCCGTGGCACATTTTGGACAACTGGCTATATAACTTTCAATGTCCTTTTTCATGGATGGCCACCAAAATTGCCGTTTAATTAAATGTAAAGTTTTTACAAATCCAAAATGCCCTGCTGATTTTGTGTCATGGCAAAGGTGCATGAAAGTTACTCTTTGAGTTGTTGGTATATATAACTTTTCCCCTACCCAAGGCAACCCGTCTCTCATTGTGCACACATTTTTGTTTTTCTGGAACCATTCATCTGTTTCCAAGCTTTTTCTGAATTCAATCCCAGTTTGGCTGTCCAGTTGTGGTTTTATTTTGGCTTGGGTTCTTGTGGTTACTGGTGCTGCCAGTTGTGACTCTGCCATTATTGGTCTAGAGTCTGTGGTTCGTGCGCTGTTATATTGGGGCATGCGAGATAGAGCATCTGCCAGGAAGTTCTTTCTTCCTGGTAAATGTTTGAGCTTAAATTGGAATTGGTGAAAATGCTGGGACCAGCGGGCTTGTTTGGGATTGAGTTTCCTGGAAGTTTTCAGGGCTTCTAAATTTTTGTGATCAGTCCACACCTGGAAGGGGATTTTGTTGCCTTCCAGGAACTGTCGCCACGTGAGTAATGCCCAACGTATCCCATAAGCCTCCTTCTCCCATACGGGCCAGCGCTGTTCTGTTTCCGTGAGTTTCTTGGATGTATATGCACAGGGTTGCAATACTGCATCATCATTTTCTTGTAATAGCACAGCCCCCACTGCCACATCACTTGCATCTGCCTGTATTACGAAGGGCTTGTCCATGTCTGGGTGCCTTAGTATTGGTTCGGCAGAAAAAAGTCTCTTTAGTCTCTCAAACGCTGCTTGGCACTCCATTGTCCATGTTAGTGGCTGGCTAGGTTTTACTAAGGATGCTCCCTTCGTTTTTAGTAAGTTAGTGAGGGGCAAGGCTATCTGGGCAAATGAGGGGATGAATTGGCGGTAAAAGTTTGCAAAGCCCAGGAAACTTTGTAGTTGCTTTCTTGTGCGGGGTGGTGCCCAATTTAGTACTGCTTTGACCTTCTCTGGGTCCATTTCAATGCCCTGTGGGGATATGCGATAGCCTAGGTAGTCTATCCTTTCCTGGTGGAATTCGCATTTTGAGAGTTTGGCATATAGGTGAGCGGCTCGCAGCTTCTTTAAAACCGCTCTGACAAGTTTGACGTGTTCTTCTTTTGTTTCAGTAAAGATAAGAATGTCGTCCAAGTAAACAAGGACCCCCTTAAACAGGTGCTCCCTTAGAACGTCATTGATTAGTTGCATAAAGACTGCAGGGCCCCCTTGTAATCCAAATGGCAAGACTTTGAATTGATAGCACCCCATGGGGCAGTTAAATGCAGTCTTCCATTCGTCCCCTTCCTTGATTCTCACTCGATAGTAAGCTTCCCTTAAGTCTAGTTTAGAAAAAATTTTCCCTTTCGATAGGTGTGACAGCATGTCTTTCATGAGGGGCAGCGGGTATAGGTTGCTTTCACTGATTGTATTCAGGGCCCTATAATCCACGCATAAACGTAAAGAGCCATCCTTCTTCTCTCTAAAAAGGACCGGGGCAGCCACTTTAGGCTTGGCTGGCTCAATGAAACCTCTCTCCAGGTTTTTTTTTATAAATCTTTCCATTTCCTCCTTCTCCTTTGGGCTCATGGAGTATAATCTGGGCTTCGGGAGTTTTGCCCCAGGCTTGAATTCAATGGTACAGTCTGTGGGTCGGTGGGGGGGAAGCTCATTCGCCCTCTCCTCACTGAAGACTTCAGCAAGGTCCCTATATTCCTCTGGTATTTCTGTTAATCTTTTTTCCTCTCCTATGGATGCTTTTTCTATTCTTGATTCTGGTAGCCTCCCTTGGGGTTTTAAGTCCATAGGGTCCCCCTTCGGGAATTTGATTTCTGTCGTCCTCCAATTTACCCAGGGGTTCCATTTTTTCAACCATTCCATCCCTAGAATCATTGGGCATTCCATACCTGGGGTCACCACAAACGTTAAGTCCTCTTCATGGTTGCCCAGGGAGAGATGTATTGGCAAAGTGGCTAGGGTAGCTGGCACCCCCCCTGCTATGGATCCATCTAGCTGGCCAAATGAGATTGGTTGTTCCAGTCTCCTGGATGGGATGCCCAGATTCCCCACTAGTGTTGGGCTAATGAGGCAGCGGGTGCAGCCAGAGTCTATTAAGGCTTTCACCTTCACAGCTTCGGGCATGGGGGGGATTAATATAGTCACTGTTTTGAAGATGGGTGTGATGCATCCACTTACCAGGGGTTCGCCCTCCGAGCTGGCATCTGAGGCATCCACCGGCCCTGTGGTGTAGGCTGGAGTCCTTTCCCCTTGGTGAGCAGAGGTGGGGGTTTCTGCAATTTCCATGGCCGTTTCTTTTGGCTTAGCTGAAGACTTTCCGGGTTTGTTGATTGGGGATCTGTCTGGGTTGTGCTGGGGGGCCTTTGAGCGGCATTCTACAGCTCGATGCCCTTCTCTTCCGCACTTGAAACATCCCATTTGCTTCTTGGCTGTATCCAATGATTTCACCGGTTGGTGTGTCAGCTCAGGCGGGGGGCGGCTCCATTGTTTTCCTCGGCGGTGCCTCTTCAATATGTCGATCTCTGCTTCCTCTGCCAAGACGTACCATTCCTCAAGTCGATGTGGGTCCCCTCGGGGCAGGCAAGCATCATATAGATCATAGTTTAGTCCGTCTTTGAAATGGCCAAGGAGGATGTCTTCTGGCCAATTCAGTTTGCTGGCAATGGCCCGGAATTCTTGTGTATACTCAGCCACTGGGCGTTTGCCTTGCCTCATCGTTGTTATTCTTTCACGGGCTTTGCGATCAGCCAGGGGGTCTTCAAATCGTCTTCTCAAAGAGGACATGAAACGGTTGAAGTTACTGAGTTCTGGGGCATTGGAGTCATGCAAGTTCACTACCCAATCCGCAGCTGGTCCATCCAGGGCAGATTGCACGATCCGGATGCGGGCTTTGTCGCTGGGAATATCCTGCCCATATTCCTCCATGTAGCTGAGGACTTGGGTAGGAAAAACCCCAAGCGTGTTGGCTCCCCTTTGAATTTCACTTCCAACGGTGGACGTCTTGGAATGGATCGGTGCCGCTGTTGTGGGTGGTAGTGCCTTCCGTCCAGATTGCCATCTGTGGTCCGGTAGGGGGTGGGAGCTCCTGGATCAGTAGATGTCCCTTGGGTTGCAGGTTCCATGTCCCCCTCGGTGTCTCTCCCTTTGCGGCTCCAGGAACTGGGGCGGCCGTAGGGTTCAGTATTCTCCTCTCCTAGGGAGCTGAGAGTTCTTTTCATCAGGTCAATAGCTTTCTCTAGGATCCAGTCTGAGTACGGTGCCCAGCTTCCTCCCTCTTCACTTGCGTGCAGGGATTTCTCCATCTCCTGCTTCCATTCTGGTTGCTTGGTCCCCGTCTCAGGGTCACCTTTCTTGATTCCTTTCCCCACTCACTTTTCTTTCCAACGCCCATCGACCAGCGAGGCTTGTGGTCCTGTGTCTCCACCACTTCTTCTCCTGAGGAATCTGACCTCTCGGATCCCAACATCTGGCAAGGTTCCAATTGGGTCAGCGGCTCTCTTTCCAGGGAGTTTTCCCCCTCTCTTGCTCCATTGTCTGACATGGTAAATTTTTGCAAAATCCCCCGGCAAGGGTCTCCTTTCCAGGTGGATTAATTTTGCAAGTCCTGTCTAATGTAAGGACCCACCCCACTTTGCATCTTAAGAAGACAGAACTCTTGGAATAATTCTTCCAACAGGAATCCTTTATTAAGAGAAAATGGTTGCAGGCATGCTAGACAGGACTTGGGGTTCAAGCTCTCCCATTCAAGGTTTTAAGGGGTTCCCCAGTAGTCCCACCCAATCAACCCCCCTTCCAGTGATAGTTTCAAGTATCACAATTCCACCCCCTTTCTTCTTTCTTCCGTCTGAATGGAGACTTCAGGTAACTACATGAAAGGCAAGTATCCAGCTTTGTTATGATAAGGTTCTCTAGTGTTAACGCTTTGATGTTACAATAAACACACATTCAGCATTCAGCTCTTTGAAGTGTACTGAAGGAAGTGAGGGCCATAAAGCCCCTTTGTTCTCCCCCTTCTCTCCCTCTTATGGCAGAATCCAAAGAAGGCAGAATTGGGAGTTTCTATATTCGATAATTAAAGATGAAATATGATTGGATTCTGACATCACACAGCGTCTTTCCTAAGCAAGGAGGAGATTTAATTGGAGCTTTGGTTGAAACAGAAGTGCCCTCCCAACTGAATCCATGTTGGCCGATGGAAGGAAGGAAGGAAGGAAGGAAGGAAGGATGGAAGGAAGGACGGAAGAAAGGAAGGAAGGAAGGACGGAAGAAAGGACGGAAGGAAGGAAGAAAGATGCCAGGCAGCTGTTCCGAAAACAGAGATTCGGCTCGGGAAAACAGGAAAAGGTGAGAAAGAACCTCAAGGCTCTCCTTGCCTTGATGCTCTTCGGCACCAGCCGGAGTGAACGGGAGACGTTGTCAAGATTCTGTTAATTAGATGATAGGACAGGAGGAGGAGCCACTTCTCACCCCGTAATAAAGAGCGTCTCCGTTCTCAAACACGACCCGGTCAATCGTCTTCATTAGTTCGTACACCTGAGCCTCCCGTTCGTCTCCTTCGGCCATGTTGTTAAAGGCCAGGCAGCGGTTCTCCCAGCCGGCCAGGAATTCCTTTTGATCCGGTTGATTTTCAGCCGGTTCGCCTTCCCGCTGATCTTTGTGGGTGAACAGGAGGATCACATAATCCCTGCCTTTCTCTCGGAAGATCTCGGGGATCAGCCGTTCCACGTCCTTCCCCTTCTGGGAGACACGGTCGGGGCGCATGACCCAGAGAATAACGTGGGGACCCGGGCCGCATAACTTCAGACACTCGCTCATGTCGGCAGCGTTTGGATGCCCGGTGTCCGGGAAGCCAGGCGTATCGACCACCACAATCCTCCTGCCGTTCCACAGCATCTCCTCCTTTTGGCAACGTTTTGTAGCTGACCTAGGTGACATCCCAAAGACTTTCCTTCCCAGGATGGTGTTCCCCGTCGCACTTTTCCCACTTCCGGTTCTGCCCACGAGGACGATCCGCCGTTCGAGCCCTACAACCCAAAAGGGGAGAAGAGACACAAAGTCAGCGTACGGGCCATCGTAGCCGGTCTGTTATGGCTGACTCGCTACGCAGCTTCGTTTGCATCCGGACAACGGTAACGGGACCGGGGGGGGGGGAGGCACCGGAAGGTGAGAGAGGGACAAGAGGAACGCAAGTGAGCCTGACTTAAAGTCTGAGACGGACCCAACACGACCAGGTCGTTCAGCGGGGAAAGTCCGAGGCAGTCGGATCATTCCATAATAATAATAATAATAATAATAATAATAATAATAAAGTTGGAAGGGACCTTGGACTGGACTCAAGCAGAACTAAAAGCAATGGATAGGCAGACTAGAAAAATAATGACAATGAATCATGCCCTTCATCCACGCAGTGACATTGATAGACTTTATCTACCAAGGCAAATAGGTGGGCGTGGAATGCTACAAGTACATCAGATGGTTGAAGAAGAAAAAATGGCTTTGGAAGAATATCTGAAGAACAATGATGAAGATGCACTGAAATTAGTATATCAGGAAGGCTTACTAACTACTGGAGAGACCAAACTGGCCTACAAGAAAGACCAAATGAAGAACAGAATAGAGGCATGGGAAGACAAAGCACTACATGGCCAATACATGAAAAAAATAGCTGGGAAAGCAGATAATAATAAAACCTGGCAATGGCTAAGAGCAGGAAAATTGAAGAAAGAGACCGAGGGACTAATTCTGGCTGCACAAGACCAAGCCTTAAGGACAAAGGCATACAAAGTCAAAATTGAGAAGACAGCAACAGACAGTAAGTGCCGCCTATGCAAAGAAGCTGGAGAAACAGTGGACCACTTGGTAAGCTGTTGCAAGAAGATCGCACAGACTGGTTACAAGCAGCGGCATGACAAAGTAGCAACAATGGTGCATTGGAAGATCTGCAAAAAATATCATTTGCCTGTAAGCAAAAACTGGTGGGATCATAAAATAGAGAAAGTCATAGAAAATGATAAAATTAAACTGCTCTGGGACTTCAGAATTCAAACAGACAAGCACCTGCAACATAACACCCCAGACTTAACAATTGTCGATAAGAAAGACAAAAAAGTCTGGATAGTGGACGTGGCAGTGCCTGGAGATAGCAGAATAGAAGAGAAAGAACTGGAGAAGATAACAAAATACAAAGACCTACAAATAGAAATAGAAAGACTGGGGCAAAAGCAAGCAAGGGTAGTACCAATAGTCGTAGGCGCCTTGGGCGCAATCCCAAAACAACTGGAGCACCACTTGAACACCATTGGCATTGACAAATTCGCTATTAGTCAATTGCAAAAGGCGGCCTTACTAGGAACTGCTTCCATCCTGCGACGATACCTGTAATACCATCAAACATCCACATCTGCCTATCCCAGGTCCTGGGTAAGGACTCGATAGGTAGACAAAATGCCAAATCCAGTCTGAACATCTGGCTGACTGTGCGATGATTGATATAATAATAAAGTTGGAAGGGACCTTGGAGGTCATCTAGTCCAACCCCCTGCTCAGGCAGGAAACCATACACCATTTCAGACCAATGGCTGTCAAGTCTCTTCATAATAATAATAATAATAATAATAATAATAATAATAATAATAATAAAGTTGGAAGGGACCTTGGAGGTCATCTAGTCCAACCCCCTGCTCAGGCAGGAAACCATACACCATTTCAGACCAATGGCTGTCCAGTCTCTTAATAATAATAATAATAATAATAATAATAATAATAATAATAATAATGATGAAGGTGGGAGGGACCTTGGAGGTCATCTAGTCCAACCCTCTGCTCAGGCAGGAAACCCTACACCATTTCGGACAAACGGCTGTCCAGTCTCTTCTTCAAAACTTCCAGTGTTGGAGCATTCACCGCTTCTGGAGGCAGGTGGTTCCACGGGTTAATTGTTCTCACTGTCAGGAAGTTTCTCCTTAGTTCTGGGTTGCTTCTCTCCTTGCTGAGTTTCCACCCGTTGCTTCTTGTCCTGCCTTCAGGCACCTTGGAGAACAGCTTGATTCCCTCTTCTTTGGGGCAGCCCCTGAGATATTGGAACGCTGCTATCCTGTCCCCCCTCGTCCTTCTCTTCGTTAAACTAGACAGTCCCAATTCCAGCAGCCGTTCCTTATAAGCTTTAGCCTCCAGTCCCCTAATCATCCCTGTTGCTCTTCTCTGCACTCTTTCTAGAGTCTCAACATCTTTTTGACATCGCGGGGACCAAAACTGGATGCCGGATTCCAAGGGTGGCCTTACCAAGGCCTTGTAAAGTGGTAGTAACCCTTCACCTGATCTTGCTTCTATCCCTCTGTTGGGGCAGCCGAGCACTGCGTTGGCCTTTTTGGCAGCTGCAGCCCACGGCTGGCTCCTATTTAAGGGACTGTGCACTAAGACTCCGAGGTCCCTCTCCCAGTTGCTACTATTGAGAAAGGTACCCCCGATACCAGACACGTCAAACCCGAGGCCCGGGGTCTGGATGCGGCCCGCGAAGTGGTTTCATGTCGCCTGCGAAGCCACCCTGGAAACAGTGAGGGAACGGCCCCCGCTGCCTTGGCCCTGCCCAAGGCCGACTGGGAGGCAATGTACAATTTTGCAGTGGCCAAGACGCATGACCCACAGACTAGTGTGAGGACCCGGGGTGCAAAACCTCATACACTTCCCGAGCTCCGCGACAGTTTGGGACTCTGGAACCCCAGGGTCGAAAAAGCCCGGCGTATCCACCACCACCACCTTCCTGCCATTCCACAGGCTCTCCTCCCTCTGGCAAGTCTTTGTTGGTGACCAAAAACTCAACCTAGACTCAAAGACGTTGCTTCCCAGGACGGTGTTTCCCGTCGCCCTTTTCCCACTTCCGGTGCTGCCCACCAGGACGATCCTCTGATCAGGCCCTGCAACCCCAAAGGGGAGAAGAAATAAGACGGGGACCCGGTCGGCAGCGTACGGCCATCGCACCCTGTTCCCGCCCCTACCCCATCCCACCATCCCTCCACCACCACCCCCCGGGCCCAAGACTTTACCTCGGAGGCTTCCAGCCATTTCCGGACCACGCCTTTCTTTGAAGTGGTTTATGTCCGCCCTCAGCATGTCCTCCGTGTAGCAAGTCGCATCCCCGTTCTTGTACACGAGCTGATCGATCATCCGCATCAGTTCGGCCACCTGAGCCTCCCGTTCTTCTCCTTTGGCCTTGTTGTTGAAGGCCAGGCAGCGGTGCCCACAGTAGGCCACCAGTTCCCGAAGCGCGACGTTTTCTTTGGATATGAATTCCTCCAGCGTCTCCCCTTCCAGGTCCTCCTTGCGGGTGAACAAAAGGATCAGGTAATTCTTGCCTTTGCGACCGAACACCTCTTTGACCAGCTGAAGCATCTCCTTCTCCTCCCGGGTGAAATAGCCAATACGCATGACCCACAGAATAACGTGGGGGCCCGGGGTGCAAAACTTCATAGACTTCATGAGCTCCATCACAGTTTGGGCCTCTGGAACCCCAGGGTCGAAAAAGCCCGGCGTATCCACCACCACCACCTTCCGGCCATTCCACAGGCTCTCCTCCCTTTGGGAAATCTTTGTTGATGACCTAAAACTCAACCTAGACTCAAAGACGTTGTTTCCCAGGATGGTGTTTCCCGTCGCACTTTTCCCACTTCCGGTTTTGCCCACCAGGACGATCCTCTGATCAGGCCCTGCAATCCCAAAGGGGAGAAGAAACAAGACGGTGACCCGGTCGGCAGCGTACGGCCATCGCACCCTGTGCCCGCCCCTACCCCATCCCACCCCCCCTCCACCTCCACCCTCCGGGCCCAAGACTTTACCTTGGAGGTTTCTAGCCATTTCCAGACCAGTTGCACAGCGCCAATCTCGGGGGTTGCTGCGTGAACGGCGAAACGGGATGAGCCAAAGGAGAGGCTGCCTCGCTCGGAGGTTCCCCCCTAGAAGACACAAGCGGGAATTGGGGGGGCAAAGAGAGTCCCCCCCTCCCAACGGCCCTTGAGGCCGAGTCGTCCTGTTCCTGAACCGGCTGGGGGATGCAGGAGACTGAGTGACACACCAGTGAACTGACCTAGGAGACAGTTCGCACCCCTTCCTGGACCCCCTTTTGCTTGACCCCCTTTCCTGGACTCTCTTCCTGGACCCCCATCCATGACCACTTTCTTGGGGCCCCTTCTGGGACATTCTTCCTGGATCCCTTTCCCAGACCCTCTTTCTTGACCCCTTTTCTGGACCCCCTTCCTGGACCCTCTTCCTGGACTCTCTTCCTTGACCCCTTTCCCAGACCCCCTTCCTGGACCCCTTTTCTGGACCCCCTCCCTGGACCCCTTTCCTTCCTCCTCCAGGAGTGTTCCCCTCTCTCACAACCATACAGCGATTCCCCAGGAAGGCCTCGTCTTACGACACATCCTTTCGTGACCGTGGCCTCAAATGTCATCCAACTGGGCAGCCTCCCTTAGCAACGTAAACTTGGGCCTCAGTTATGGCTGGTAAGCTGAGGACCACCTGTCCTTCTTGTCAAGACCACCCCTGTCGAGAGTTTGGGGGAGAGGGACGCCTTCCCCCGGCATCCCGCGCAGACCCCCAAAGGCGGCAGAAGGGTTGCTGGAGAAGACAGGCAGAACTGGAGCTCCCCCATGTGGCCGCCCACCGACGGTATTCCAGTTTCTGTGCTGGGCAGAGGTAGAGTAGAATAGAGCTGGAAGGGACCTTGGAAGTCATCTAGTCCAGCCTCCGCGCTCGAGCAGGAGAAACTAGGTCCTACACCATCTCAGACAAGTGACTGTCTAGAATAGAATAGAATAGAATAGAATAGAATAGAATAGAGTAGAGTAGAATAGAATAGAATAGAATAGAATAGAATAGAATAGAATAGAATAGAATAACTTCCGGTGGATCAAGCCGCGATGATGGCGGCTTTCTTAGAAGCTGCTCGTTCCCGGATCGTGTAAAAGCCGGCGAGACTTTGATAATCAGCTGTCCCACGGCTTGAATCTCTTCCCTGGGAGAAAGGGAAGAGAAGAGCCACTCAGGTAGAGGAAGAGCTCCCCTGGATCCCCTATAATTTTGGAGATCGGAGGGTAGAGCTCCCTCGGAGCCTAAGCCAACTCCGCGCTCCAGGATGTCTTTGTTCTGAAGTTCTGGGACGAAGCAAGACGCCGCTCCCACATCTGCTTTTTTGGGTGGCTTTGTGAGTATTTATATGCAGACGGAGCAAACCAGGAGAAAGTGGATTTAGGATTGATTGTGACTTTAACTCCTGCAAGTATCTTCTCCCTTTTTATTGTTTACTTTCCCCTTTTGAAGAAGAAAGGGAAAGTGAAAGGCAAAATGGCGACTATCTTTCTTGTTTGATTTTGCAACAAAGTTAAAAGTTGGTTACAGTTTATGTTTCAAATATAGAGTCAAGAATCTTGTTCCTCTTTTCTCTTTTTCCTTTTTTTTCTCTTTTTTACTATTATTATTATTTAAAGAACTGTGATATTATAGAGGCAAGAATTTTGCTCCTTTGAATTTAAGAGAATGGCTTCAAAACGTTTGGTCTCAGTTCCTAAAGCTTCTATCTCCTCTCCAATGACTCAACCTGTTTCTCAGGCTAAACCAAAGTAACCCCCACCCTCCCCTCCTCCTGCAATTTCTCTTAAAGATTTACAAGAAGCTTTAAAAATGAATGCTTTGGATATTAAAGAGGAGGTAAAAGACCTTATAATTGCAGAGAGGGCTATTACAGAAGAATTATTGGAGAAAAAAATAAGGAAGTCATAGAGGATATATTATTTGCGTTTCAAGGTCTTGCTTTGCATATTGAAAGGATTGATGATAAAATGGAGAAGATTACTGAAAATGAAACAAGACTGGAATCTAGAATGGAGGAAGTGGAGAACAAGATTGAATCTACACAGGATGAACAAACTATTTCACAATAAAGAGAAATGGAGTTTGCATTGCACATCAGGGGATTGAAAGAAAACATGCAGGAAGATTTAAAGATGCTTATTGTTAAAGATATTGCTTTTAATCTTGGATGGAGACCAGAAGCAGTTGGGAATGAGATAGAAAAATTTTTTAGAGTCAGCTCACGGGTTGCTAGACAGAGAAACCTACCAAGAGATGTGGTCATTTATTTTTCCAGAAGATCTATTCGCAATGAAATTATACAGGCTTTTTATAAACAGAGGTTTCAAATTGCAGCCCAAGATGTGATAATTTTAAAAGAAATATGTCCAAAAATTTTAAGAGGCAGAAAAGATTTCACCTTTTGTCTGATGAGTTAAAACATCGCCAAATCCAGTTCAGATGGGAGATTCCAAGAGGAATAGTAGTGAATTATAATGGAACACGTTACAGATTAACTACAGTTTCAAAGGCAAGAGATTTTTATTATTCTATTTTAGGTTAAAGACTGTATGATTAAATGGGCTCAGAATATCCAGGAACCGATCCCATTGGATTTATGGGAGATAATTTGGATCAGAAATGTTAAATTTAGACAAGCCCAAAATTTGAGGGAAAATTTTTATAAACTGTTTTATATGTGGCATTTAGATCCTAAAAAATTATCTTGTATGTACTTTAATTTACAACCCAAATGTTGGAGATGTGGTAATACAGATGCGACATATTTTCATGTTTGGTGGAATTGTAAAAAAGTAAAGGCTTTTTGGATTATGATTTCGTGGAATATTCAAAAGATTTTTAAAAGGAAGATAAAGTTTACTCCTCAATTATTCCTATTGGGTATTTTTGTGGATTTAGATGACAAAGAAACTATTTTAATGTTGAATTTATTAACTGCAGCAAGGTTACTAGTAGGTTCATATTGGAAGAAAGATTTGTTGCCTACTCTAGAAGAATGGATATCTAAAGTTTCTAATTTTGCAGAAATGGCCAAAATTTCTGCTTATTTAAAGCATCATACACAAGTAAGATATATTATTGTATGGAGAAGATGGATAGATTATATTCAGAAGAAGTACGGGACTACAAAGTTTCATTTATTTTATGAGTAAATTTTATAGTAAATTTTGTATAACAGACTTGTTTATGATGATGTAATTTAAGAGGAGTTAAGGGCTAAGTATGATTTTTTTTCTTTTCTTTTTTTTCTTCTTTTTTCTTTTTGTTATTGTATATTGTTAATTTTGTTATTAATAACCTGTACTCTGCTCTGGGAAGTGAGGGGGGGGGTTGAGGGTGGGTGGGTGGGAGAGTGGGTAAGTAGGCAGAATAGGATAATATAGATATGATAATTTACGAGAGACATGCTGCTTGGGCACTTCCCCTACGCTGTATTCCTGTATTTGAGAGGGATGAGAGGAGAGGAAGGTGAAGGGAGGAAGTAGGATGGTAAGAGGAGAAGGGGAGGGGAAGAGAGTAGGTGGGGAGGAGGGAAGGGGGGGAAGGTATTAGAGAGGGTGGATGCAGCGTGGGGCGAAGGAGCAAGCGGCACCTATGATTATGGTTATGGTTATTTTGTAAAGTGAATTTTGCTGTATATGTTGAATAAATGGAAAATAAAAAAAATTCTATTAAAAAAAAGAATAGAATAGAATAGAACAGAATAGAATAGAACAGAATAGAGGAATGAAGAATAGAATATAATAGAATATAGAAAAGGAATATAATAGAATAGAGAATTAATAGTATAGAACAGAAGAATAGAATAGAATAGAATAGAATAGAATAGAATAGAATAGAATAGAATAGAATGGAATGGAATGGAATGGAATGGAATGGAATGGAATGGAATAGAGGAATGAAGAATAGAATATAATAGAATATAGAAAAGGAATATAATAGAATAGAGAATTAATAGTATAGAACAGAAGAATAGAATAGAATAGAATAGAATGGAATGGAATGGAATGGAATGGAATGGAATGGAATAGAGGAATGAAGAATAGAATATAATAGAATATAGAAAAAGAATATAATAAAAGAGAATTAATAGAAGAGAACAGAACAATAGAATGGAACAGAAGAATAGAATAGAATAGAATAGAATAGAATAGAATAGAATAGAATAGAATAGAATGGAGAATAGAATAGAATAGAATAGAACAGAACAGAATAGATAGAATAGAATGGAAAATGGAATGGAATGGAATGAAAAATATAGAATAGAATAGAATAGAATAGAATAGAATAGAATAGAATAGAATAGAATAGAATAGGGAATGGAATGAAGAATAGAATATAGAATATAAAGACAGAATAGAATAGAATAGAATAGATGGAAGGGACCTTGGAGGTCATCTAGTCCAACCCCCTGCTCAGGCAGGAAACCCTATACCATTTCAGACATTCTATATAGAATTTAGAGAACAGAACAGAACAGAACAGAACAGAACAGAATAGAATAGAATAGAGAATGGAAAATGGAATGGAATGAAGAATATAAAATAAAATAGAATATAGAATGTAGACTAGAATATAGAATATAGAATGTAGAATATAGAATATAAATATAGAATAGAATGGAAAATGGAATGGAATGAAGAATATAAAATAAAATAGAATATAGAATAGAATGTAGAACATTATAAAATAGAATAGAATGTAGAATGTAGAATATAAATATAGAATATAGAATAGAATAGAATATTGAAAGGAAGGAGAATAGAATAGAATAGAATAGAATAATAGAAGAGAATAATAGAAGAGAAGAGAAGAGAAGAGGAGAGAAGAGAAGAGAAGAGGAGAGAAGAGAAGAGAAGAGAAGAGGAGAGGAGAGAAGAGAAGAGAAGAGAAGAGAAGAGGAGAGAAGAGAAGAGAAGAGGAGAGGAGAGAAGAGAAGAGAAGAGAAGAGAAGAGGAGAGGAGAGAAGAGAAGAGAAGAGGAGAGGAGAGAAGAGAAGAGAAGAGAAGAGAAGAGAAGAGAAGAGAAGAGAAGAGAGAATGGAAAATGGAATGGAATGAAGAGAAGAGAAGAGAGGAGAAGAGAAGAGAAGAGAGAATGGAAAATGGAATGGAATGAAGAATATAGAAGAGAAGAGAAGAGAAGAGAAGAGAAAAGAGAAGAGAAGAATAGAATAGAATAGAATAGAATAGAATAGAAAATATGGAAGAGAAGAGAATAAGAGAAGAGAAGAGAATAAGAGAAGAGAAGAGAAGAGGTGCTTCTGTGCCCCCACCTGTTGGGAAGCCCCCTCCCTCTCCCTCCCCCTCCTTCCTCGGCCTTCCTTTGCTAAGACGGCGGGAGGGGATCCCGAGGGATTCAGCCCTCCGCTTCCCCGCCTTAGGATCTCGGCTATCCAGCTCCACC